ACAGCAACTTGTCTGTTCCCCTTCCCCCAATTCCCCAGCACTGTTCCCATCCCCCCAATTCCCCAATAAAAAAAAAAAATCTTTAAAAAAAAAAAAAAAAGATGGGGAATGAGAAACCTGAGGTATTAAAGGTGATCAGATAGTAAGGGTGAGTGATTCTCTCTAACTTAGAAGGATTCTTTATTATTATACACACATGTTCATAGCAACATTATTCAAAAAATGAACTGGGCTGGTAAAGCCAAAGACAGAACGTAGGTCAAGGTCAAGGCCTATTCCAAAAGAAGGCTCGGAGGTGGATGACTAAAAGTTTGGTCAAGGAGAGTCTTTGTCATGTGTAATGTTTATCAAAATTAAAGATATATATAATCTGTAATATTACAGTTCTAATATTTAGCATTTATTCCATAAATGCACTCACAAATGTACCCCAAGAGATACTGTAAGGGTTATCTCCAAACCATTGTAAATAATAGCATCTAAAAGCCCGATAAGAGGATTGGTGAAATAAATTAAGACTACCTACTTTTGCCCCCCATTTTTATTGCAGTAAAATACAAAATTTACCATCTTAATAATTTTAATTGTACAGTTTAGTGGTATTAAGTACATTTATAATCATGTGCTACCATGTTCAGAACACTTTTCATCTTGTAAAATTAAACTCTGTATCCATTAAACAATAACTCCCCATTCTCCTCTTCCCCCCATGCCCTGGCAAACACCATTCTACTTTCTGTCTGAGTTTGACTACTCTTGATACCTCATAAAAGTAGAATCATACAGTATATCTTTTTTCATAACTGACTTATTTCAGTATAATGTCCTCAAGAGTCATCCCTGTTGTAGAATATGTCAGATTTAGACTTTCCTTCCTTTTTAAGACTGAATAATAGTCCATTTGTGCGTGTGTGTGTACCACATTTTGCTTATCTATTCATCTATCAATGGACACCTGTGTTGGGCCGGCCGAGTGGCTCAGTTGGTTAAGAGCTCGCTCAAGAGTTTGAGCTCTGAGCAACAGCGGTTCAATGCCCGGCCCGAGCTGAGCTGCCAAAAGGTGGTAGGATGGCTCAGCTGGAGAAAAAAGAAAAAAAGAAAAAAAAAGGACACCTGTGTTGCTTCCACATTTTAGCTACTGTGAATAATGCTGCCATGAACATAGGTGTACAAATACCTCTTCAAGACCCTGCTTTCAATTCTTTTGGTCACATACCCAGAAGTAGAATTGCTGCATCATATGGTAGTTCTATTTTCAATTTTTGAGGAACTACTATGCTGTTTTCTACAGCAACTGTACCATTTTGCATTCCTACCAACAGCGAAAGTATCTTAAAATGAAATATGCAGCTGAAAAAGAGTAAGGTCTATCCATACTCGTATGTGCTAATACAAAAAGATTTGCAAAGCACTATGCCAAAATGGAAGGTATAGAACAATATTAAATAGTATAATTCCATTAACAAATGTTAAAAATGGGAAGCTAGATATTATGATATATATAAAACTTTTTTTGAGAAGACACACAAGAAACTATAACAGTGGTCAACTTTGGGGAGAGGCACTAGGAAGCAGTAGCAGAAGGGAAGTTTTCTTTTTCATTTTATACCTCTCTATACAGTTTATTTGATAGGAGCTATTCCACAATTACTAGAGGTGGAACTTCTTTCTATAGTATTTCAATTTCTTACTTTAGGCACTATATCTCTCTCTCTCTCACACACACACACACACACACACACACACACACACACACACTAAATGCAAATTTAAATAAATTGTAGGACAAGAAATGAAGAGATTTTTCTGAATTGCCTTATACCACTATACTGTTTACTTATTTTTCATGCTAATCAAACTCCTCCAAAGATACTTGGTGAGTTATATTTCAGCAGTTTGAGCCATACCTTTGAGTGTTCTGAAAGGAAGTCTGGAAGGAGATAAACTTGTGCCAGTAGCTCTGTGTAATCATGACAACGAAAATAATAAATATGAGAAAGAATATTTTCAAGAGTGAAATCCTCCAAAGCTTTTGGGTGCTCTGAAATAAACAACAAAACAATCTTAAAATAATTACTTTTACCTGTTTTGATATATTGGTGATTTTAGGAAAACAATATTTTGAATAACAAAATGCTTCACTGTGATAGTGTCTTCAACAAAACTCAGTTTTGTTACTGTAACAAAACTCTTTAACTGAAAGATGATAAAATTGTAGCAAAATCACTATGAACTATCACTTAATAATTCCTGTACTCTTTATTTTTACCTTTTCCACTGTTTCCTTACATATTAGGCTATCTAGAAATTGTTCACATATACAACTAGTTTTAATGTCCGCCTTCTCATATTCCTAGTTATTGGCTTCCGTTGAATAAAAGTAACATATTGCAATTTCTTTCTTGTTTTTTTCATAAGACTACAAATTAAGAGTTAAATGGAAAAATATTCAAAAGAAGCATTTTTCCCCTTAAATGCTATAGTATAATTTAATATTTAAGTAGAAACAATGATATAAAATGAAATTTCCTACTTAGATTGGATTTTTAAAAAATAACCAGTTTGGCTCTATACATATTTCAAAGGGAAACCAGTTAAAAATGATTGCACTTTAAAATATACTTAAGTTTTAACACTGCAAGAAAACATTGCCTATTGCAAATATACATTCAAAAAGTTTATTTTTAACCAAAAAAATGGCAGTTTAATCACACACCAATCATTGAAAACTTCATATCCCAGTGCTACACCTACAATATTTACAATAAAATTTTAAGACACTATTACAAATACACATTGTGACCTGGGTAGCTTTAAGGACTTTCAGTAGATATACTAGTCATTAGTTAAAAAGAACACCTAGTACTCCCATGAAAATAAAAACATCCAGCTGATTACATGCATTTAAAGGGAATATAAGCATTTGTAAAAAGTATTGTTTTTTTAAAACTTCTAGAGAAAAGAATGACTACATATCTAAAAAATAAAATGAAACAAAGAAGAAGAAAAAACAGTCAAACCAGAAACCATTTAATTTTATAAGTAACTGAAAGGACAAGAACTTGAATATAAATTACCTTTAAATTTTCTTTTAAAAAAAAAATCGCTATTTCCACATAATAAGTGCAAAAAAACCTTCCCAAACACTTTAGTAATACAATTAACATAGTCGTGAGGTCAATTACATACTACTCATTGCCCCATAAGGCCCATCCGCTTAATATTCCAAACAGCTCCAGGCATGGTTTTTCTAAACTACCTTTGGTGCTCGCTTTGGCAGCATATACTAAAATTAGAACAATACAGAGAAAAATAGGATGGCCCCTGCGCAAGGATGACACGCAAATTCGTGAAGCGCTCCATATAAAAAACAAACAAAACAAAAAAACTACCTTTGGTTTTTGAAAAAACCAGTACAGAAGTCAATACACACTGAATGCATTGAGACAATACTTACTTATGTTCAAGTGTCAAAAAAAATTAGTTTACATCTGACAGGTCAGAGAATGATTTGAAGTCATACATTGAAATACATACACAAATTTTGCCCCAGAGCTCCTGCAGTAAGAAATGAGGGCCATGCAAGGGGGAAAAAAGGACAATCTAGGTTGTGGCTTTTCTCATTTTGTAAGAGAAATGTGAGAATTTAACACTAGTACACTGTCAAGTATTAAGCTTTCACATTCCAAACAGTCTCTTGCTGAGGCTTAAGATGCATACAAATGCAAATTACTTCTATTATACAGAAAAAACCTGCTAACTTACCCTCTCCCACATGTGTTCCTGCTATAAGCTGAAGGTGCTGAATGCAGGCAGTAGCAAGGTCTACCACTCTATCAACTATAAAACTTCCCTCTGTATCAATAAAAATTGCTTCACCTTCCACTCCTCCAAAACATTCTGGTATCTGCACATCTATGGCCAACTGCATACTACAAAGAGAAAGAAGTCAAATGAACAAATCATTATCACAATCTTCTAAGGCGGTGTTTTTCAAACTCCAGATTACCACCATTAGGTACCATTAAATATTTTATAAATGCAAGAATACTCCTCCAGACAACAGAGATGGCTGACTCTCCATGGCTCCAAATATATATGAATCAATTGATGCTTGCATTAGGGAGACAGTGTGCCTATGAAATCATGATTGAGGAATTTTAGTTGTTTTTAGGCCTCTGGGAATGGAACCCTTTCTTATTATACATAAAGCTACTTTCAAACATTTGACTTTCAAATGTATTCTCAGGAGTTAACTATATAATAAAGTAGAAGTCTGCTTATTTATCCTAATGACCACATCACAAGATTGCAAAAGAAACATTTTTTTATATCAAAGTAATTGTATCAATTTATCAATGGGGTGCTAAAGTAATACAGGTGGTTAAGTTGGTTTTTGATGTGTGCACACATACACAAAAAATTATGAACACACACGTCTTTTATGATCTTCTGACTGTAGTCCCATAGCACAATATTAATTACATAAAATGTTATTAAGCCCACCCTTAAAAAGGGAACATTTTATTTTACCATAATTGTGTTTTTCCAACACCTGGAGCACCACAAATTTCTGTTATTTTGGTTAAGGGTACGCCACCCCCAAGAATATTATCTAGTGCTGAACAGAAGGTAATTATGAAGCTCTGGGTATGCTCCTGCTCAAGAAGTTTCAGCGCTGTACACTTCTTGCCTGACTCAGCTGTACCAGCATGTCTTGGTTTATTTGTGAGGCATTCTCTTCTTATAATTTGCAGAGTTTCTAAGGCTTCTTCTTTAGATATACCAACTTCTGAAAGTAGAATAAGAAAAAAAACACAAAAAACCCTGACTTTAGAGATTTAAAACAGTCTAACATGCTATTGGGTTGTCTTCATTAATTTTAATTTTTAGATAACAAGAGTGAGTCCAAGAGTAGAGAAACATAAAAATGCAACATTCCATTAACTATTTAATCTTTCAAATTATTAAAGGTATTTATGCTTAGTCTTCATATACTTAAAAGATGTATTACCTCAGCAAGAGAATTCAAAAACCTAAACCTCTAAAGCATTTCTGAGTACCTACAAGTGTCTCAGGACACAGAAATAAAAATGGATTAGCAACCAGTCTTTTTACTAACTCTTTTGGTCTTGTGAAGCCGTAATTATCTTGCTCTCATAAGGTATACAAATTATTTTTTAGAAGAGAATGAAAATGGTCTCTTTGCCTAAAACAAGATGCAACTTTAAGAAATGCATATGCATGTATTATTCATAATAAAAACTTCGTGGAAACAATGGCATGAAAAATTCATGTATCACTCCAAACTATTTAATGAGATCAATTATTTGATGCACAAATATTTTAAACAATACACTTATGCTTTCCTCAACTACACAATTTCATTCCTATCTGACAGTATGGCCTGAAAAGAGAAAATGACAAATACAAAACAAGATGCTAATGAAAGAAATAATGGTGAGGATAATGTCACTTATAAGAGTTTGATATATCAGTGTTTGATTTGGTAAGGATACAAACTATAAATTTGGTGTTAACTAAAGACAATAATGGTGATAAGGCAATGAAACTTATCCAATTTAAGAACCTGAACTCTGGAGTCAGATTACTTGGGTTTGTAAATCCTGACTGCACCACTGACTATGCAGTCACCATGTATGGGCAAGCTACTTTTTTGCACCTCAGATTTCTTCTTCTATAAAACGGGAATGAGACAGTAAAAAGCTTGGTAGAATACCAACGCCATCCAAAATGTTCAATAATTGTTAGCTATTATTATCATTAAGCTTTTTTTTTTTTTTTGGTAAAACCAACTTGTTAAAAGAAAACGAGCCCATCAAACTTTGGGGGACACAGTGCAGTGTAGTGTAAGATTTACAATAGTTAACATTGGGTCTACAACATTTATTCTCGAGTGGTGAGTTGAAGCCTCCTTATTTCACAGTTAAGGACAATGACTTAAAATTCCGTTCTATCTTAATTGCACAGTTCTAGGCACACCGTAGTGTAACGTGAACAGTGAGACTGACCCCAGACGGCTTCATTTTTCTATACCTCAGTTCCTTCATCTATGTATTGGACATAATCCACGTAAGAGCTCTTTTGAGTAAAAATGAGGTAATCCCAGGGCATTCAGCAGGCACTGGCAGAGAAAGCAATTAGTAAATGTTTTCAAGATCACAGTTCTGACAATTCCAACCATGTTTAAGTGGAGTCAATGAGTTTTTTCACTTTGTAAATGCAGCCGTGGGCGGCAGCAGAATCTGCAGAGATCGGGCTGAAGCCTGAAGACGGGAGAACAGAAATGAAGGCGGCAAACACAGCGGCCAGTGTGCGTCTGCTTGCCAGGAGTCATTACCTTTGCTGAGCTCGGAGGGTTTCACCTCTAGAAGTTCCTCAGCAGTCTGGAAGCCTGCAGACACCAGCTTCACCCGCACCGCTGGGGACAGGGGGAAGCTCACTAAATGCCGCTGCATTTCAAAGCCCGACACTTACTCGCGCCCATGCGCGTGTCTAGTTACTAAACCCCGGGCGGCCGAACCCCGCACGCCTGCGCCTGGCTGCGCCGTGTGACGTCAGGCGTAAAGCGGGAGGGGCGGGGCCTGCGGCCTGGCTGCAAGCGTGCGGCCTTGAGTTTTGCCACTCGGCAGAGGCAAGCTAAATTTCCACAAGTTTGCACCATTTCTGTCGTGATTCTTCCAAATTCCGTCTAGTGTTTCCCCATTAACTATACATCCTGACAATAAAAAGACAGATGGAGGCAGCAGGATGGAGAGCCAGGCCCAGTGGGCCCTGCACACCACATTTCCTCACCTTCTCCCTGGCCCATTGGGTGGAAACCTCAGGGTTGTTAATAGGAATGATCTCTCTGAGTGGGAGTAACACCCACAAACTGGTTAGTTACCGGTTTGGGATACGGAACGGTGGTATAAGGATTAATCTGTATCCATATTATAGGGTTCCAGTTTCTTGGCTCTTCTCATCTGCTGTCCCCCTTGCCTGGCCCCCTCGCCTTTCCCCCCCTCGCAAGGGATTGTGGGCCAGCCGCCACGCCGCTGGCGCGCTCAGCGTCCAATCCGTGCACCCACCCACGCCTTTCCGCGAGTTCGGTTTGGAGCAAGATGGTTTCCGAGACTGTTAGTTCTAAACGGCCCGCCTAGCTTAAGAAGCAGCTAGAAAAGTAAGCATAGTGGGTTGGGCGTGGGCTCCTTCTGTCCTGAGAATAGTTGGGCTACAAACGAGCTCCTGTTCTGGTACAAAGTTGGGAAGGGACTTGAAGGGATTTGAGAGGCAGTATGGAAGGTGGTTTACGAAGTCTTTCCTTGCCTAGGTGAGTGAGGATTTCTTCGTGGAAGTAACTCATTCCCTACCTTTTGGCGACGATCCTTAACCTTGACTTGACTTCCTAGCTTAAATAACTTCCTAAATGTTGTAAGTCAAAGCCCTTGAAGTGCATAAGCTCTAACGAAGGAACCATGTTGAGCACTTGAGCAAATCCTACACATTTCAAATGTTCACCGTCATGCCGCCGGTAAAAAACAAAACGAAACAAAAAGAATATAGAAGTTCAGACTTGTTTTCTTAAAGCCAAAATTAAAACCTAGTACCATTCTTTTCTACTGCGAGCTACCTCCAAATTGTGAAGTGGTGGGGGGAGAATTCGAGAAGTGTTTGTCCCCCATGGTAAGGCGGAGAAAGTCTAACAGAACTGTTCCGAATGTGATTCGCCACTGAGTACATTGCTTAACTTCTAGTATGGTCCACATCTGGGCACACAGTCGGCATTTCATAAATGTCCACAGGGAGAATTCATACTTACGCTTTCACATTAACCAGGGTCTTGGAAAGAAGAGATGGCGTTAACACGTTCAGGGATTGCTCTTCAGTTAGTTTGGTCAAACTCAATGGGATCGGCTGTGTTATAGAATTTTGTTTCGTTGGCATTGGTGAGTTAAGAAATTACTTGACTCTATATATAGCTTTACAATTATGTTATTAATATCTTGAGTTATCTATAATGATTGTTTTCATAATTATTCAGATTTTTTTTGGTAATGCAGTTTGCTGTGTAATCAGGTTTTTAAACTGGGATCCAGGTTTATGAGGTCAGGGACCAGGAACCAAAAAAGGCTATAGGATTTTAATGAAAGGTGCACCTTCCTATAGTGTCAGGTTTTCTAAAATATTTTTTTAGAGGGAAGTATTGAATTTTTTAATTGGTAAGCCATTTGAAAGGTTTTCTATTAAACAAACTAATAGATTGTAGAGTGAAATGCAAGCATAAAAATAAATTTTAAGGTAAAAATAAGACTTAAGAAAGATCCAGTTTAAACTGGGTACTTAAGTAGTCCCCCAAAGTCTCCTGGGAATATGTTTTTGTTTTCCTTTACAGTTGGAATTAACTTGTTGAACAAGTTTGAGAGGCACTGCTGTGGGCATGAGCTTTGGAGTCATACAAATTTTGGGTTTTACCACATCTCTGGAAATTACCAACTGTGAGACTTCCAACAAGTTTCTCAGTTTTCTCATCTGCAAGTAGAAGATAGTATTTTATGGAGTAGTTGGAAAGATTAAATTTACAAATATAAAGTATTTGGCACAGAAAAGGTATATAATAAATCTTAGTTTCTTTCTTCATTTTCAAATGTTCTAATATGTGTATTCAGTTGAATAAAGCTGAGCTGGACACCTAGCTCAGCAGAGTGCTAATGCTGTGGGACTTTTTTTTAGCGCCTACAATTGTAAAGAGCCAAAGAAAAGTGCTTTTACTTATTTGATTTAATACTTAAAATAATTGTGGGAAAAGTTTACTGAAGTCCCCATTTAAGATTATTAGCATATTGAAGATTGGATCACTAGAGCAAGATTAAATATTGTTAGTTATGTGCAGGAAGACAGGACAAGCAACACAGTCTCTGCCTTCAGGGGGCCTCTAATCAATCAGGATCATTATTGAGTATTTTGGACTTGTGTTGCATTACTGACTTTCATTGCTATCCAGGTATAATACTAAGAGTAGGAATGAGATATTGCAATCAATATCTATAGTTAGTCTGGATAAGTATTCAAATAAGACATTTTCTTGCTGACTGGGCTATTTTCTAGAGATGTGGGGGAGGAGTAATATGAATATTTCTGTTACAGCTGTTATTTCTTTTAGACTAAGAACATAGAACTTTGAAAAATGGTGAGCTTGCATATTCAAGTGAATTTTGGGAATGGGATGGAGAAATGAGTGCTGTTTGGACTAAGAAAAAATTGAATCAAGGCTTTAGAGGTGATTATGATAAACCTTAAGGCCTCAGACATATATACTCGTATTTCAGGCAGGATATCAGTAGCACAAGGCCTTGTACATAGTAAGAGTTCAATATATGTGTGTTGTCCACAAACTCTTGAAACTTTCTCACCTGACTTCTGTGATGACACACTCCAGATTTCCTTTCTACCCATTTGGCTTTTCTTTTTCCCTTGCAAACTCATCTTCCATAACCTGGGCATGAAATGTTAAAGTTCTTTTAAGGCTCCATACATAAGCAGACTTTTTGCTATGACTCTTCTGTCCTCTTCTCCTTTATTCGTTCTTTCTTTCATTCCCTCGCTCTCTTTCTGCTATCTTATTCACATTGGCAATTCAGTGACTATATGCCAGTGATTCATAAAGTTGTGTTTCTAGCCCTGACCTGTTTGTTCTCTGACCCCCACATGCAAATATCTGATTGTCTGCTGAACAATGCAAAGTCTCCAACTCAGCCTATCTTAAACCTAACTCATTATCTTCAGACCATTCCCCAAACCTTGTCCTTTTCCTGTCCTTTCTGCCTCTATGAACTGAATATCCCTCCTTCCATCTGCACAAGCCAGAAATCTGGGAATCATCCTCAACACTTCCTTCCCTTTCATAAATCTCCATATTCAGTGTACCCACAAATCACATCAATTTTTTCTCTAAAATAATCTCAATTATGTTTATGTCTTCTTTTCTAGGCCAAGCTTCGACCATTTCTCATGTAGGTACTGAAAGAGCTTTTTGGCTGGTCTTTGTGCATCTTGCCTTGTCCCCACTAGTCTGCTGTCCTCTGCAGTAGCCCGAGTAATTTTACTACAGTACATTATGTTGCTCTTAGGACAAAGATCACATTTTTTTACAAGACTTACAAAAAGCTTTGCATGTTCTGCTTGCTTTCCCTCTCTCCCCTTTACTCTCTCCACTGCCTTAATTCCTTGTATGTGCCCGACTCCATCCTACAACAGAGTTTTTGCACATGCCCGTATTATTATTAACTCTCCCTGCTTCACCCAATTAAGCATCATTTATCCTTTAAATCTCAGTATTCATTGACCCCTTCTCTGACCCTGAATCTCGGCCTCCCACAAACCCCCTCAAAACTAGGTCAAATCTCCCCTTTAAGGCTCTCATAGTATCAAGTGCCTTTGTATGGTCATTTATTTAACATGTCTCCCCATCTAAACTGAAAGTCTCAAAGTGGGGACCATGTGGACTTACTCACTGTTTACCTAGAGCCCCTAGCCCAGTGTAGGGCTTATAGTGGGTGCTCAGTAGATTCTTGTTAAAAGAATGGATGATTAGATGATTGACCTGCTCTTCTGTCCCTATAGTTTTCTGTTTTGTGCTCTTAAATATAATGGAAAATATATACTTGTAGGAAGTATCTAGTTGTAGAAAAATAAAATACAGAAAATGTAAAGAAAGCAAAACTCAGAAACCTTTTCTTCAACTCAGAGATAATGTTAATATTTTGGTTTATTTTACTCTTTCTACAAGTTCATGTAATGTATTTATTTTACATACTTCTAATTAAATTTTGAAAAAATTTATCTTTTTTGTTTGTTTTTCACTTAATATTTTGTCAATATTAAGTTTAATGATTGCATACTATTCTGTCCTGAGGCCCATCTTTCTAATCAGTGGCCTATAAAGATAGTTGAATTCTTTCCAGTATTTTCCTGTGAAGTGTAGTGTGTGTCTCCTCTCTCCTCTCTGGCAGCTCAGCTCAGGCTGGGAATCGAACCCCTGTTGCTCAGAGCTCAAACTCTTGAGCAAGCTCTTAACCAACTGAGCCACTTGGCCGGCCCTTTTTTCTTTTTTATTGAGGTATAATTGACTTTATATGCTTATTATCTCTTATTACTAAAAGAAGTTAAAAATCTTCTCATATAATTTTATTGGCCAAATATATTTTATCATTGTAACCACCTCATTTATATCCTTTGCCCACTTCTGATTTCTAATTGTGGTAAAATACACATAACAAAATTTACCATCTTAACCATTTTTAAGTGTGCAGTTCAGTTGTGTTAATTATATTCACAATGTTGTGCAGCCAATCTCCCAAACTTTTTTGACTTGCAAACCTGAAACTGTATCCACTAAACTCCCTATCTCCCCTTCCCCAGCCACTGGTAACCATAGTTCCACTTTGCATTTTTATGAGTTTGACTACACTTAATACCTTATGTAAGTGGTATCATACAGTATTTATATTTTTGCGACTGGTTTATTACACTTAGCATAATGGCCTGAAGGTTCATCCATGTTGTAGTATATGCCAGAAT